GGGGGGAGGGGGGGGGGGGGAGAAGAAGAGGAATATATCTCTAGTCTACTTTGTGAATGAGAGTTTCACACTCACTTGCCAAGAGCCCAGCCCCTTTCCAGGAGCTGCTGGGAGGCGGGCCCTGCCCCCACCCTGGCCTTTTCTCTGTCCCAGCTGTCTGAGATGCTACCATTATGCTTAGGCTTCTCTCCAGTCTGTGTGCTTGGCCTCCCATCTGTAACCAGAGTGAAAAAGTGCCTAGTGTCTGCTGATGTGCGGCCTGGTTCTTTTGTGGATAAAGATGGAATGTAAGAACTAAGACACGTGGAGATGGAATGGCAGGAGCAGGGATGGGGTCCTGAGATGTTGCTGGACCAAGGCACTGCTCTCCTATCTCCAGAAGGCTGAGAGACCTTCCGAGCCCTCCACCAGGCTGTGTGGCAGGTGCTTCAGCACCCACTAGCCCTCTGCAGGGCTAGAGTATAGCTGCCCCACCTTCACCCCAGAGGCCTTCAGAACCCATCCCAGAAGAGGGAGAAACTGACACTTGCAGAGTGCTGAGGTTGTGAACCACACATAATCAGTCAGCCCTTCCTTCTATGGAAACTGCTCCCTGGGGCTGTGGCTCTGTTATATAAACATTTCTGCTGCCTTGGGCGCCTTCCTCTCCTGGGTACTGACCCGAAGCTGCTGGCCCCCAACCCCCCACCCTCCTGGAGCAGTTACCCTAGGCTTGGAGAATTGCAGCCAGCTTCTGAGAGGAACCGGGAGGCTGGACAAGCTGCTTGCACTGACCCCTTAAAGCGCCCTCTCTGAAACAGGTATGACAAGAGAGAAGGCGGGGCCCATAGGTGAAACGTGAGCCCACCTCCAGCTCCCTAGGCAAGGGTTGCCTCCTGGGATTCCTGGATTCTGCAGTTCCTCTGACTGTCCTGCCTCAGGATTCTCTCCTGCTAGGTCCCTGTTCACATTAGAGGCATCCACTTGGTTCCGGATGCAGCTATGAGAGGCAGGGAGCTGGGGTGCTGGGCTGCTGCGCTCTGTTCACGACCCTGATTGGGGATGGAGTGGAGATGCTATTCATTCCAGATTCTAAAGAACTTTGTTCGCACAGGGACAAAGCAGGCATTTTGGACGCCCAACGCTTAACCAGCTTGGCACAGGCTGCCCAAGCCTGGCATCACGATGGAGATAACCAGTCGGGGAAAAAGCACCGGGGAAGAGGCTGCGCCGGCGCTAGACGCGGGTGAATCAGTACCACGCTCTTTCCTGGTCACCTTAGGCAGGCAGAGGCCGGGGACAGGGAAGAGTGACCAAGGAACGTCTAGGCAAGGGTCTCTCCTGGGGAGGGAGTTTGCAATCCAAACCAACGAGGCACTGGCCCCGGGTGTTCCCTTGAGGTACCCAGAGCTCCCTTCAGTGGAGGCTGTGGGCGCGACGCCATCATCCCTGAAGGTTAAGCATTCCGGAAGTCAGGGCTAGGGGGTGTCTGGCCTCGGTCCTCCCGAAGCCGAAAGCCACCCGGCCAAGGGCTCCAGGGAGTGGAGCCCCGGAGCCAGGGACACACCCACCGCTGCCAGGGCGCAACTCCTTTTAAACTCCCGCTCCGCGAGTCCCCCAAACTTGGCTTTAGCTGCTCCTGCCCTTGGTTCACAGACCCTGCGCCCAAGAAGGACACTGCTCCCGGCAGCGTCGCTTCCCCAACTTCACCAGAAACAATTCTGCTATTGACATGCAAATCGTGGCAAAAATCGAGAAGACCATGGGCGGATCCTTCCGCTGCCTCGGCTCAAACTTTTGGTTTCTGAAAACTTTCGAACAAGAAGTAGTCCCTAGGCACCCGCTCCCAACAGCCCTCTGCGCTCCCGGGCGCGCGACCCGGAGGATCCTGGCTCTGGACGTGCGCCCCAGCCAGAGGAGGCACGGGGCTCGCCAAGGAGCTCGGGAGGGATCCGGGCCAGCGTCTGGCCGAGGGGTGCGGAGGAATCGGGGGCGGGGCGCGGCGGGGCCGGGGCGGGGCCTGGGCGGCCCCCACGGGGGCGGAGCGCATGCCAGCCCTGCGCCTCACTAGTGCCTCGGCCGCGGGAGGGAGCGCAAGGGTGCGGGGTGCGGGGTGCAGGGCGCGGGCGGCGGGCGGTGGGCGCGGGCGCGGGCGCGAGCGCAGTGAAGAAACGAGCCCGGGTGCTTAGTAGGGCCGGGAAGACCCCGAGAGCCCAGCGCCGCCCACCAGCGGGCAGAGAGAGAGCAGCAGTGGGTGGACACCGCGGGAAGGTCCGGGGTGCGCGCGTGTACGCGAGCCCCGCCTGCCACCGCCAGAGGCCACCGCCTGGGCAGCGGGCAGCCGGCGAGCAGGCATGCCGCGGCTCTTGGCGCCCCTGCTCTGCCTGGCCTTGCTGCCCGCGCTCGCCGCGAGAGGTAGGCACCCGCGAGCCCGCAACTTCGCGCCGTTGGAAACTTTGGCAGCGTCCTGTGCGCGCCCGGGGTGGCCGGGAGTCAGGGCGCCAGCTGCCAGGACGGGGAGCGGGAGCGGGTGGAGCGGGCATGGGGAGTGCCTCCTTTTTGATCCCCCCCAGGTACTTCTGGGTAAACTCAAGCTGCCCCGAGCGCCCGAAGTCGTTAGAAACCCGGCATGGGGCGCCGAGGCCCAACCCTGGCTCACCCTCGGGCAGCCGCGCCTGGGGCTCTCTGCGGGGGCGGGCAGGCTGCCTGCTACTTTTCGGTTTGAATCGAATGGGTTTTGGTTTCCTGTTGCTTCTTGGGACCATTTATTTTCTTTCTTCTTCCCCTCCGGCCCGTGTTGGGGCGGATGTTGGGGCGCGTGGTGGGAGTCTGGGGCACTGCGCTCGCCTGGCTCGGCGGGGACCGGGGGTGCTGTGCGCGGGATCTCCAGTGCCCCGCCTCGGGATCGCTGCTCCAGCCCGACTCAGACTTTTGGAGAGGGGCAGTGTCCTCAAAGCTGGCTGCCCCTGGTGTGACTAACTTTCCCTCTGGAAGTTTGGGAATCGTGCGCGCGAGGAGATGGGGAACCGGGGAACCCGGAGGGGCGGGCGCTTTTCGGAGTGGAGGGACGCTGGGGAGTCGCAGTGACTAATTCTACGTTTCTCCCAGAAGTTGGAGGGGAGACTTGTCTAATTCTCGAAAGTGGGGTTTCATGTGACACCCAACCCTACCCCCACCCCGGGTCCTAATTTTGGAGTCCCTTAAGATGGGGCGGGAGAAGCCTGATTACCCCTGCCCCGAGATCAGAGTCGAATTCCTTATAAATGCGGGCTCTCCGACCCCCTCCGTGGGTGCGGCGGGGGCTGCCGCTGGAGATGCCCGCGAACAGGTATTGGGTGTCGGCGGAGGCGGGGCAGGTCCCCGGGTGCGGCCCCGCTGCCCCAGGAGGCGGCCCTGGTGCGACAAAGGGCCGCTCTGATTCCCGGCCCGGCGCTTTGTTGGCGGGCGGGGCAGCGGGCTCCGCAGCTGTCGCATTTTCCCACGATTGAGGGGAGGGGGAGCTGAGTGTGGCCGGCCCCCTCGCCGTTTGCGTTGGAAGCAATGGTTGGAGGCTGGTTGGGGGCTTGCTGGGCTCCCTAATGAACACCCACTTTGTGTGGGGTGTGTGTGTGAAGTTTGGGTGAATGTTCCAAGTCACTCAGCCCTTTCTGTTGCTGTTCTTTTCTCCCCATTAGCCTGGACAGTTCACTTGCCACCCTAGCCAACCTACCCCGCCCCCCTTCTGACTGCAACAGGCTGGGCAGAATGTTGGCCCAGAGGGGCTTTCCCGAGAGTCTGTCCCACTCTCAGTAACTCCAGGACACAACACAGTGCCTCTGGTCTCCCTCCCATCATCAGGGAGCCGAGGAATCAGCTGCCCAGAGTCTAGGCTGACCTCTCTTCTGCTCCTCCCGCAGGCCTGAGATGCTCCCAGCCAGGTGGGACCTGCCTGAATGGAGGGAGGTGCGAAGTGGCCAATGGCACGGAAGCCTGTGTGTGAGTACCACCCCCTGAGGGGACCTGTTGCTTTTGTCAGGAGCAGAGCCCCTGCCTTCTGGGGACTGAACACTGGGCCATTGTCTGCTGAAGACGGCCCAGGGGCTGGGTGCAGTCACGTGCTGAATTTTATTGGACAAAGTCTGGCAATTACTTAATCACCAGCAATTAAGCCGCGTGTGGATCTGCTCTGGCCCCTGGAGGTTGGCACACTCCTTCGTGGGGCCCCTCAGGCTCCTGGGAATCCTCGGTACCTTAATTCTTAAAATCATCAAGAAACTGTTGTTCTTGGTGGTGGTGGTGGTGGGGTCTAGAGTCTCAGCTCCCATCACCTGTCACCTAGGAGCCCTCTTCTGGGCAGGTGAGCACTAGGCAGGAAGTTGCCTATTTTAAGACAAGACTCCCCCCCCACTCCCACTCTTTGGGTTCAAGGTGAGGTTGGGAGTTGGAACGGTCCTTGTTGGCACCACTGACTTGGTGGTGGGTGTGGGTAAAGTGCTGGAGTCTGGTTTCTGCCCTGGCAGCTGCAGTCCTGTCCTACCTCCTTACTCTACCTCAGCTGTGAAATGGGAGTGACTTAGAGGGGGTGGTCTGCTGCACACTGGGAAATCCTTTGGGGATGGGCTCCTTGCCTGGCTGCCTATAAGGACCAGGCAGCCTGTGGAAGTTTCTCTGCTGGGGTTGGGGCCAGTGCCCTTCAACTTGAGTTCCTCCCTGAGAATAACCAAGGGCTGGAGACTGAGGCCTCCCCTGGAAGCTGGAGGCCACAGACAGAAAGGGCTCCAGCCTGCGTGGCGCGCCCTCATTCCAACTGCTGAAGGGCCCGTCCCCTTGACAACGGGTGCTGCTGCCTCCAGTGCCCGGCCTGTGGGCAGCAGCCCCTCCTCCCCAATCCGCCTGCCCCACACTGAAGCCAATTAAGCAGGTCTGTGAGCAGTTTATTGGACAAAGCCGATTGTGTCTCTGTCAGACTCTAATGAATGCACACTCCTTTTTTTTTTGGCTTTTTTTGGGGGGGGTGCTTTCTTCCCCTGCAGAAGCCTCACGGACGCTTGATGCCCTAAATCTTGTTTCCTTCCATTCAGAGGCCGACAGCTGGGATTCAGTAGAAGGGCAGCAGCTATTGTTGGGAGGCCATTAATGCTGAGTGATTAATTATGCGTGGCTTCTCAGAATGCACAACCCCCTCCCCCGCCACTGTGCTCCTTGCTTTGCCTGCCTCTCACCCTTGTAGGGCAGGGCTGAGAAGCTTCTTCTGCCCAAGACTTGGAAGGGTGCTGCCTTGCTGTGCTGCCTTGCTGGGGAAGGCGGGAGTGGTCTCTTCTCAGCCCCAGCAGGAGATGGGCACAACCCAGCCTGCTGCTGCCTGCTGATCCCACATGCTGTCCCCACTGGTAGGGCTGTGCCTGGGGGTGCCATCTGGTTGTAGCAGTCCCTCCAATAACCTGTTCCCTAGCATCTTGGGGAAGACCCTTCAAGCCAAAAGTGTGATGGTGCTGGTGTTTTTTCTCGCACTTCCCAAACTTGGGGAAGCTGACTACTAGTCCTTCCTGTCCAAGCGGGGACACTGAAAGGGTCTGAATGCCTGGCCTTCTCTCTTTCAGTGGATCCTAAGGCCCCTCCTCCTTGGCAGGCGTTCTGCCTCAGTTTGGCTCAGAGCTCGGCTGAGTTCTGTCCACGAAGCTCCATTGTGCACACTCTATAAATCCATTGAAAAGTCTGAGTAGATGTGCCCACTTCTGGTCAGCAAAGCTAGAGGCCAAGGCCTCAGCCAGGCCCGACTTGGGATAGACACTTCAGGCTCAGCTCCCCGTCTGGGCTCGGGTGCTTGAGAGCCCTCCACTCCTCGGTGACTTCTACCTTCCCATTTCTGTCTACTTCTCAGATGACCCCAAAGAGGCCCACCCAGGAACAGCACACATGGAGGGGCCCACCTCTCCTGGCTCAGGAAAAGAAGCCCCCTTCTTTCCTCAAGGGGACCTCAGGGACAGACTTAGAGCCCACAGACCTCTGTGACACCCAGCCATGGCTGCTTGGGAGGGGAGAAGGGCCTGGGAAGTATGGAGTCACATGCCAGCATGTTAGCACCCTATGAATCATCTCTTCCACCCAAATAGAAGGACCCTGCCTCAGAAGCTGCCTGTCAGGGAGTTTCAGGGCTCCAGATTAGAAAGTAGATTCTTTTGGTGCCAAATGTCTTCCTGTAAAGTCTAGTACCATGGAGGCCTAGATAGCCTGTGTCCATGTGGGAAAGGCCTGGCTAGCCTGTATCCATGTGGGAAAGGCCTGGCTGGCCTGTGTCCATGTAGTAAAGGCCTGGCTTTGCATCCTGTAGGCAGGGCACAGTCTAGGAAGATGCTGTATGCTGTGAGATGTTGAAGGCCCCTTGGGGAGGCTTGGGGAACACTTGTGGCCTCCTTGTGGGCTCTTTGAGTGCTAAGGGAGGAAGGCTGAAGGGCTTTCATTTGAAAATGGAGGGATCTGTTCTCTTGGGTGAGCATTCATTCAGTGGTCAAAAGGCTTATGGGGCTAGAGGCTCTGAGCTTGGGGAGCCAGGGATCGTTCTGGGGGGGAAAGACTTCCTTTATCAATAGTGAAGTCAGAATTTGATGAAGATATCTTCTCAGAGGTTGGAGAAATTGAGTAAACTTTTTTTGTTTGTTTTGAGGCAGGGTTCTCCTGTAGTCCCATCTGGCCTGGAACTCCTCAATATGCAGTCCAGGCTGGCCTTGATCTCACAGAGATCTACTTGCCTCTGCCTCCTGAGTGCTGGGCCTAAAGGTGTGCACCACCACACCTGTTCCTGGGTAAATTTTTATGTCCAGACATGTCCAGGCTGGTGGATAATGAACTTTGGCTTAGAACACCCTACATTTGAGGCCTGGCTCTACTGACCACCAGCTCCATAACCTCGGATTACTCTGGCCTCAGTTTCCCCATTTGTAAATCAAGGCAGATGTACGACAGATGACTGGGGTACGAAAGGATTGAGTAAGGGAAATGTCTAGTAGACACGGTGGTGTGTGTGTCTTCCCCACCCTCTTCTGGTGAGCTCACAAGGCTGATTTCAAGGGACTCATTCTCCCATATTAATTTGGGTAATGAATTAATTCATAGTCTCCAAAGTGCTACCTGGTGGGGCCAGTTTGGGTTGCTGTTTAGGATGGAGCTTGGTTATCTGCAGAGCCTAGCTCTGGACATGGTTGCAGTTAGAAGCACTCTGTTTCTGTTTTCACACTGTGTGTGTGTGTGTGTGAGAGAGAGAGAGAGAGAGAGAGAGAGAGAGAGAGAGAGAGGAGAGACACGGCGTGTGTATGGAAGTCAGAGGACAACTTTTAGAATCAGTTCTGTCCTTCTACCATGGGATCTGGGAATAGAACTCAGGCTGTCCTGCTTGCACAGTTCTCTGGCCTTTCAGAAACCTGCTGTGTGCTGGGTTCCATGTCAAGGATGGCCCTGAGGTGGTCCAGGGCCAGTCAGGAGAAAAAGAGTCACCCAACATAATAGCACCCACTGTGGCCTGATGTGGTTCCCCGCAGCCTAGCGAGGATCAGTCACTAAGAAAAAAGAGAGGGGTGCTTGGCTCTGGGTGTCCCAGTCTCCGCTCTTCCTCCAGAGCATGCATTCTGTTTACCACAGGCTGTCCCATCACTTCCTGTCTGCTCTGTGAGGAAACAGGGATTAGGCATGAAGTGATTGGTGGGCTGGAGAGAGACCCAACAGAACCTTATATCTTCTGTCACCTGGTCCCGTACTGTTCTGTTGAGTCACCTGCCATCTTGAGTTGGTCCCGTCCTCCCCAGCGTGAGAGCCAAGGCTGTTCAGAACCTTATATCTTCTGTCACCTGGTCCCGTACTGTTCTGTTGAGTCACTTGCCATCTTGAGTTGGTCCCGTCCTCCCCAGTGTGAGAGCCAAGGCTGTCGCAGGCCCACCTGTCCCAGGCCCGCCAGCCTGCACAGTACAGTGCCTGGCCCTCAAGGACACAGGGTTAGAAAAACAGGTGAGAAGCAGTGTCACAGTCTCACTTGTCACAGAACCTGCGGGGAGATGTCTGGGCGCCGGAACACCTGGGCGGGGGCCTGGCCTTCTGTGAAGGAAGGTGTCTGTCTGTGGGCAGCCCTGCCTCTGGCCAGCAGCCAACCGTTTTTCCATTGAACGAATAATAAGAATAAAGAGAGAGAGGCGCAGAGCAAGCTGTGACCTCAGCAGGAAGAGGGAGGGGCAGGGCAGGCAGGGGAGCCCTGTCTCAAGGTGCTAAGCAGGGTTAGGGTAACCCAAACTGCTGCACGACTCTCCAGCAGCGGGCTGTGGAAGAGGGGCTCCACTGGGTATTGTGGCCAGGATCTCAGGCAGAAAGCCGAGGATGGCGTTGGTCCCCACTCTCGGCCTTGTGGTGGGGCAGCAGGACACACCGTGGCGGACAAGGCCCACCAGGGCGGTGCCAGACTGGGCTGAGGGGCTGCGCCATCTTGTGTGGGGAGGGACTTCTGTTGCTTCATGTCTGGTCTATAAATAGCAGGAGGATGTGGCTTTGTAGTCGAGTGGTGTCCTCGAAAACATGGGGGTAGCAGCAACTTGCAGAGCTGCTTCATTGGCCCTATAAACCGGGCGGCCGGGGGCCAGCCCACCCTGTTTTATCCCCAGTTTACAGGTGGGAAAAACTGAGCCTGAGAGATGAAGAGGCTGCCCCCCCCGCCAGGTCAGCTTGCGTCAGCTTTCACCTTCGTGTGCAGGCCTATCCAGAAGTTTCCAGGCCTTTCCCAGAGGCTGAGGGAGAATCATCACCAGCTTTAACGAGCGGCTGGCTCCAGGGCATCAGAGTGACTAGGCCAGGACGTGTCTGATCCCCCTTGTTTCCCAGGCCAGGCACACCCTGGAACACAAGCCAGCTGGTTCTGGAGAGCTGTGCTCCAGCCTCAGTGTCCTCCCCGTGCATGAGGGGGCCCTAGTGCTCCAAGCGGGGCTCGGGGATGATCCACACATTTAAGTGTGGTCACA